GCATTTATGGGCCTGTTGAGCAACTGGGAAAAGCCCAACAGGCCCAACAACCAGGCTTAAGCCTAGGCTAGAGGGCAAAAAGAAAGGTGCTGAGGCACTAGGGCACTTGGAAGGGTCTCGGCAGGAGAAGATAAGCTCCCAGGTGGGTAAGAAGGGTAGGGGGCTGGGGCTAGTCCTGGGCATTTCTGAAATTTCAATCTAACTCAACCTGCCACCTTCTATTACTGATTATCACCACTGTCCCTCAGGGAGCCAGAGGCCCTGTGAGTTCTTCCAGGTCTTCTAGGAAAACCTAAGTAGTATCTGAAATCCACCACTCCAGGAGTATTTGCATTTTTCCTAGGGATCAAAATCATAATCTAAAGTCATATACCCAAATGATGAACAGGTGCAGTAGTTTAGTGGTGGTGTAGCTTGGGTGGCTTTCTAAAGGTATGTTCCTTATTTTCAACTCCTCTGCCAAGACCACCCCACACTTCACTGACACTCTGAGGCTCACTCCTTCATCCCTGGAAAGAGAGGGAAAAAAGGCAAAAAGGCACTCTATCCTTGGAGGAGTCAGAGGCTTGCCTTGTTCATCTCCCACAACAGTCATTATGGACAGGAGGCTGAGCAAACAGTGCTGAGCAGAATGTCTGCAGTTGAAGAATCACCTCAGTGCTAGCATCTTCGTGGAGTTCACCTGCAGTAATTTTATTTGTATCACTGAGTCTACTTTGTAACTCCAAATCAAGAATCTTTAGCAAAGAGACTACCTGGGTACCAAAGAGTTCTTACAGCCCTTTCCATACATGATTTATGCCAAGGGGTTATTGTTAGGTTAATCGTTTATTGCATCATTTGTGTTCCTGTATCCTAATCAGTGGGGAATGATGGAGGTCTGTAGGAGTAAGTTATCTAGAAAGACATGTGGGAGACTGTAATAGAGTGAGTCCATTAGATTTTTAAGGTAAGAGCTGGGTCTCCTTTCTGATTTTTCTATCCCAGGAATAGGTTTTCCTAGGAAGTTTGAAACGGTAAGATGGATAAGTATTCATATACTTTTTCTTCTTATGCACAACTTACTTTGATGATCTTGACAAACTGTCTCACCTGCTTTTGTATTTTGATGACAGTGAGTATTAAGTATGTGTATGATTAGTGGGGTATCATGGCAGGTGCCTATAGTTCCAGGTACTTGGGAGGCTGAGGTTGGATCACTTAAGCCCAAGAGTTTGAGGTTGCTGTGAGCTGTGACCCCACAGCCTCTACTGAGGAAGACAAAGTCAGACTTTGTTTTAAAAAAAAGTATGCATATGATAAATCATACATATTTATTACACATTTTTTATGCTTAACTTAATCTTCTAGAATAGCAGTTCTCAAACCTGCTTTGTAACAACCCAGGTCGCAGGTCGCAACCCCTTTGTAACAATGAAAATACATCGCGTCATTAGGAAGGTTGAGAACCACTGTTCTAGAACAATAAAGAAGATAAATTTGCTTAAGTAAGAATGGTGCCAAAAAGTGTTTTCATTGTTGATATACAAATTGACTTTGGTACTCTGAAGTGTACTCACCAAGCTATGCATAGAAGAAAATTCCAGCAGACATCCATGTACTAGTGCCCTCCACTAAGAGCATCTCAGTTTCCCATTGGGGAGATTCTCCTCCACTGTTAGTGGGCAAACAAAATGGATGGCCAGGACTGCTATGTTAGTGGAGCCCCCTCTCCATGGAAGAAAACCCTCAGGAGAGGAAAGCGTTCCTCTGATACCATAGTTGCCACTGCTCATACAGCTGCAGTTCCTCCACTGTGCCAAGCTTGGTCCTGCTTCTGGGTTTTGGCCGTTGATGTTCTCCATGGAGTGCTGGCTCCCCAGATGGTCCTATGGTCCAGGCCCTCAGTTTCCACAGGTTACTGGTCAGATGTTGTCGGCACAGAAATGCTTTTGCTGATCATCCTACCTACAATAGTTGCCCCTGCTCTGTCCGGGGACCCTGCCATTTCTTCATAGCCCTCCTCACCACTTGTTCACGTCTCTCTTTCCACTGGTGCTGAGGGCAGAGGCTGTGTCTGTTCAGCTCTTAGCTGTATTCCAGTGACTGAGAACAGTGCCTACCCTCTAGTGCACACTCAAAAAAGGACTATTAAAGTCCAGAAAATGGACTATTTTCTCCCTTCCTCCAGCATAGCCAGGGGCAGGTATATGACTTAGGCTTGACTAATCAGTGGTGTCCCCTGGATTATGACTATGGAGCAAAGGTGCCAGAGCAGCTGAGGTACAGTGATGGCATGTCCTCACCAGGCTGGAGTTCCTGCCTCAGCTGCTTGGCCCTCTGCAGGTCTCTGCTCCCCGTCTTCTGTCAGTTCTCTTGCATGTCTGGTGGTCCTTCCCACAAATCCCTTTTGTTCTAAGTTAGGCAGAGTGAGTCTCTGTTACCTGCAACAAGAACCTTAACTGGTATGCGTAGGAACATGGCCTCTTCCAGTCCCCAATATGACAGTCCTGATGGTCAGTGCCCAGGGGTGTCATGAGAAGGTATTGAGACTGGTCCTTGTATGTGGCTTCTCGAACCACCCACTTTACTTATAGCCCTCTGCTACTATTTTGCCCCTATAAACACCACCTGGCTATAGCTAGGCTGTGTAATTATAGGTGGTTTTCATTACTCTCTTTACTTTTTTTTTTTCTTCTTCCTGATTTGTTAACATGTAGATACCCAATCCCTACTTTTTGAAATTTGGGTCGATTTTATTTTCACCCATGCATCTTTTATTCCTTCCCTATGTTTAATGTGCTTACAATGGAAAAATAATTGCATTTTTGTATGTTATTGACTATAGTTAATGGTGACACACTTAAATGTTTTGCAGAAAGAAAGGTGGAGAATGGCTGTAGAACCAGAGACTTGGGGGGTTTCCAGTACTCATGACGATTGGAAGAGACGACAGTCATTCCTTCCAACTTAAATATTAACTTTAGGTTGGAGGAAAAACATTCTAGAACAATCAGAGACTAAAACCTCTGCATTGACTTTTGAGGAATGTATCCCATGAATATTAAATAGTGTTCTTAGCAATGCTTCCCCAGCCCAACAGACTTTCCCCCACATCCAGTACTGACAAAAATGTGTGGTACCAGTAAACACTAAGTGTTTTGTTTAAATATTAAACTTTAAAGTGCTACATCAATTTTTAATGTGCAAGCTATCCTTGAAAGGCTCCACTAGGATGCTTTTCCCTATCAGTGAAACACTCGAGGGTCATTAGCCAAGTGCTCGGGTTACAGGGAAAAGGCCCAGTGCACTGCAAACCCTCCTTGGAGCACCTCTGAAAAGCCGGCATGTGAGCTGAGGGCAGGCTGGCTCTGAATCACTGCACGCCTCCATTTCCAAAACTTCATTAACCGGTCATATACTCAGGAAGTTGAAACCCCAGGAACTTCTTCCGTCAACAGACTTCTGGCAGAGGATGGCTGACTGGAAGAGAATCATCCAGAACCTGCCATCATGGCAGTTTTTATTGGTGGAATTGGGGCTGACAAGAGCATGTCGCTGGAGAAATAGTCATACGCTTATTTCCCCCAAACGTGTCACCTGGAGAGTTACCACATCTTTGCCTGTGGAGTTGCTGATTGTCATGATTGGGTGCCGTGTGAAAGATTGCCATGCGGGCACTCCGCATTCCTTACCCTTATGTGACTGAGATACAGGGCTGTAAGGGTGTGGGACATGAATTTGTAAAAAGCATGTTCAGGAATGGTCTAGAAGCCAACACTGTTTTAAGAATAAAGGAATAATCAGTGATATAAAATGACAGAGAAGACCCAGAGGAGGAGCCCACTGATGTAACAATGAGCAAGCTCTGGGCAGGCTTACCGTGAGCAGTTTCTACCCGGTGCTAGAGGATGGAAAGCTGGTGGAGGAGAGAAAGTGAGGGAGCATCTGAGTATTCTTTCAGGATGATTGGCTCTGAAGGAAAAATGAGAAGTAGGGTGACAGAGGGGGTACTCAGTGCTGTGTTGTTTGAGTTACAGTTGAGATTCTTGATTAATGAACTGGCTTTTAAGAATGAGAAATAAAAAGAGCGGGTACAAGAGAAAGGTCAACATCATGCCACCCGACTTGGTACCCGGGCAGAAGTATCCTGGCAGTGAAGGGAGGAGGGCCACCATCATGGATTTGTTTATTTCCTGTATCCATTCATTCATTGGTTCACCCACTTACCGAAGTAATTTACTGAGTGACCCATGGCCAGAAAGTCCTAGCTAGGCTTCAGGAATGTCAGGTAGCTCATGTGTTTGAGACATGTGAGATATGGGAAGAATGGTCCTTGATGAGGTGGGATAGTAAGTCCATGGTTGAATTTGGAGGCTGTTCTGTCATGGGCTTGCGTACCTATCAGAACAGCCTCAGCACTTCAGCCACACGGTGGAAATAACTAGGGTCACACATCACCCAGAGTCTGTGCTTGGAAAGGTTTAAAAAATATGTATGTTATATTTTTGTGTTTCCTCAGAAGGTCTGAGCTGTGCTTTAGTAAGACATTGCTGCCAAGTAGTTTGGGATACAAGTGTGGGAAAAAGGATTTGAAATTCAGAAATAATAGTAGATGGAATTGATTGAAAGGTGGAGAACCAAGGATTTCATAGCAAATAGCAATTTCAGTACAAACTGCATTATGAATAACATAAAAGGAGAAGAAAATGATATATTCTAATATTGGGAAGAAAATTGGATTCTAGGTCTGGATCTTTACTGTCCGAAGGGACCATTTTGTCATTGAACGTTTATAGCTTCCCTGTTATGGGCACCTGTTAGCTTTACTAGGGTAGCCACTAGCCATATGTGGCCATTTAAGTTAAAATTAAATACAAATAAAATCACCTCTGTTTTAGTTCACTTAATGTTGCTATAACAGAATACCACAGATGGGGTAATTTATAAAGAAAAAAATATGCATTTATTATTGACCTCTGAACACTTTAGTGGTATAAGGGCACGCTGCTCTTACAGCCTCAGTGTCTCAGAACTTTGGTGTCGTTGGTCTCAGACACCACTTTGTCCCCCACTATCCTGCGCGTGGTGGTCTTTTGGATGGTTTGCATGGGGTTGCTGCTGTCCAGGGCATCACCAAGGTTGAAGTCCTCCCCATCTTCCAGCAGGTGGCGGTAGGTGGCGATCTCAGCCTCTAGTTTGACCTTGATGTTCAACAGTGCCTCATATTCCTGGGCCTGGTGCTGCCCCTCTGTCCAGGTCTGTGCCAACTCTGACCCCAAATGCAGCAAGACCCCCTTGAGATTCCCCATCTCCATGGCGTAGTGGGCCTTCACCTCCCTCAGGCTGTTCTCCAACCTGGACTTCTGATTTCTTGCAGAGTCCATTTCGATCTCTAAGGACTAGACTGGACTCATCAGCTCTTTCAGCATTGTCCCAGCAGCTGTGACCTCAGTAGACTGTGAGGTGACCACTGTGGTGCTCTCCCCAGTCTGCTGAGACCAGGTCTTGGCCAGCTCTTCTTGGCTCTTCAGAGCCAGCTCATCATACTGGGCCCGCATGTCTGCCATGATCTTGCTCAGGTCCTGGGATTTGGGAGCATCTACTTCCACAGTCAACCCAGAGCTGGCAATCTGGGCTTGTAGGGCTTTTACTTCCTCCTCGTGGTTCTTCTTCATGAAGAGCAGCTCCTCCTTGAGAGACTCGATCTCTGACTCCAGCTGCAGGAGAGTAATATTGGTGTCATCAGTGACCTTGCAGAGCCCATGGATGTCGCTCTCCACAGACTGGTGCATGACCAGTTCTGTCTCATACTTGACTCTAAAGTCATCAGCAGCAAGATGGGCATTGTCAATCTGCAGAGTGATGCGGGCATTGTCCACAGAATTTGCAAAGATCTGAGCCCTCAGGTCCTCCATAGTCTTGAAGTAATGCGCCCAGTCTCTGACCTGGGACCCTTTTTTCTTCAGGTGTTTCTGGATTTTGCTCTCCAGTTTCTGATTATCAGTCTCCAGGGTCCTCACTCTGTCCAGGTAGGAGGCCAGGTGGTCGTTCAGTTCTTGTATGATCTCCTTCTCAGTCTGGAAGCCCCCCATTCCTGTCAGACCCCCGGCCATCCCCAGGGCCAGGCCCCCAGATCCCTAGCTGCCCTGGAAGCTGGTGGAGCAGGACACGGAAATCTGGGAGCCCGAGTCCCGGACGTCTGCATAGACTCTGGCTGCTCTGCTGGCGGGCCGGACACTGTAGCTGGGCATCTAGACTGAGTCCAGGGACCAGTAATTGCTGGAGAAGGTGGTGAAATGAGTGGTGAAGGACATAATGTCTGAAGAGGAGAGGACAAGACTCAGGCGAGCTCAAAAATATGTATTTTTTGAGACAGGTCTCACTCTGACACCCAGGTAGAAGTGCAGTAATATCATTGTAGCTCACTGCAACTTCCAATGCCTGGGTTCAAGCTATCCTCCTGCCTCAGCTTCTCTACTTAGTGGGACTGCAGGCATACACTACTATGTTTGGATAATTATTTTATTGTTTGTAGAGACATGGTCTTACTATCTTGTCCATGTTGTTCTTGAACTCCTGGCCTCAAGTTATCCTCCTGCATAGGCCTCCTAAGGTGCTGGATGGATATATACATGAGCCACTGTATATATACATGAGCCACTGTATATATACATGAGCCACTGAATATATACATGAGCCACTATATACATGAGCCACTGTGGCTGACCATGAAATTTGTTTCTTACAGTTCTGGAGGCTGGGAAGCCTAAGATCAATGATGAAGGCCTTCATGCGCCATCATTCCACAGTAGAAGGTGAGAGGGTGAGAGAATACACAAGAAAGAGAGAGAGAGAGAGAGAACATGCATGCATGCAAGAGGGACCTAAACTCACTTTTATAACAAGCCCACTCTCACAATAACTAACCAATGCTGGCAATGACATTAATCCATTGTAATAATTATCTCTTATTAAGCCCCACCCCTGACACTGTTGCACTGGAGATTAAGTTTCCAGTATATGAACTTTGGGGAACACATTTAAACCATAGCACGTCCTCAGTTACATTAGCCACACTGCAAGTGCTCAGTAGCTGCATGTGGCGAGTGGCTATTGTACTGGACAGCACAGATACACAATATTATTATCATCACTTCAGAAAGTTCTACTAGATAGTGCTGTAGGCAATAACGTGAGGTTAAGAAACTTGGGCAGTACAATGTTTCTATTAAATGCACTTTCTCATTTCCTCAACAGTTACTCCAAGCTGTCAGCTCACTTAAACTTTATAATCCACCAGCTTGTCTTCACTTTTTACAGGTGATTTCCTTTGTTATAAGGCAAATGGATGATATAGGTGTGAAGCTTTTTATACTTGGCCCTTATATTCCCGCCACCTGCCTCCTTGCATCTGGATCTATTTCCCCATTTCTCTTAGAGGAAGTGGCACCATCCTTGCTGTTAATTACTAGTCACTCCACCTGTAGACTGCAATCAACTCTTCTGTCTCTTCAGGGGACAGGCTTTGTCAATTATCTGCTTTCTTTTCCACATATACTGTACCTGAGTCTATAATACAGATCTCTTCATAGCTAATAGGTTTACAGAAAGTTTAAAAAAGTGTAAAGGAAGGTTCTGTGTACCCTTTATCCAGTTTTCTCCAACGGTAATATCTTACAAAACCATGTGCGGTATCTACACCAGAAAATTGACACTGGTGCAATCCATAGGGGATTATTTAGTTTTTATCAAGAATGTTAGTAATACAGCATGCAACTTTTGAAACTGGTTTTTTCATTTAGCACAATTCCTATAAAATTCAACCCGGTCCCTCCCTCCCTCCCTCCCTCCCTCCTTCCCTTCCTTCCTTCCCTTTCTCCCTTCCTTCCTTCCTTTCTTTCTTTCCTCAGAATCTCACAATGTCACCCTTGGTATAGTGCTGTGGTGTCAGAGTTCACAGCAACTTCAAACTCTTGGGCTTAAGCGATTCTCTTGCCTCAGCTTCCCATGTAGCTGGGACTACAGGCACCCACCACAATGCCCAGCTAATTTTTGTTGGAGTTGTCACTGTTGTTTAGCTGGCCTGGGCTGGGTTTGAACTCACCACCATCGGTGCATGTGGCTGGTGCCATAACCATTGTGCTATAGGCATCAAGCATATCACAGTTTCTTATATCAAGAGTTTGATGCCTGGCTATAATCCTGGCACTATGGGAGGACAAAGTGGGAGGACCGCTTGAGGTCAGGAGTTCCAGATCAGCCTGAGTAAGAGTGAGACCTTGTCTCTACTAAAAATGGAAAAATTAGCCAGGCATGGTGGTGGGCATCTGTAGTCCCAGCTACTTGGGAGGCTGAGGCAGGAGGATCGCTTGAGCCCAGAAGTTTGAGGTTGCAGTGAGCTATGACAATGCCACTGCATTCTAAGCCTGGACAACAGAGCAAGACTGTCTCAAAAGAAGAAAAAGAGTTTGTTCCTTTTTAGTGCTGAGTGATCCTCCATGGTATGGATGTGCCAGTTTATTTACTACTTATCTACCCATTGAAAGACACTTCCCCCCACTTTTTGGCTGTTACAAATAAAGCTGCTATAAACATTCATGGTTTCATGTGAATACAGGTCTTCAGTTCTCTGGGATACATGCCCAAGAACTCCATTGCTGGATTAATGAGAAGTTCAGATTTAGTTTTGTAAGAATAAGAAACTGCCAAACTGTCTCCCAAGTGTTTGCACCATTCGTATTCCCACAGCAATGCATGAATGGTCCGCTTTCTCTGCCTTCTTGCCAGGATTTGGTGTTATCATGGCTTTTTTTATTTTAGCCTTTCTGGTAGGCATGTGGGCATATCTTATTGTTTCTTTAATTTCATTTCATTAAGCGTTCAGAATGTTGAACATCTTTTCATATGCTTATTTGCCATATATTTTCTTTGGTGAAATATATGCTCGTGTCCTTGATGAAATACCTTGCTCACTTTCTAACTGGGTTTTTTACTACGTTTTGATAGTTCTTTGTATATTTTAGACACGAAGACTTTCTGAATATGTAGTTTGGGAATAGTTTCTCCCAGGCTAGCCTGCCTTTCCACAGAGTCTTTGGCAGAGCAAAAGTCCCATAATTTTGATAAGTCCTTCTACTGTATTTTTAGTTGACATGTTTAACTTCACCTGCTTTACTGCTTTTTCTCCACTGTGCAAACCGCCCCCCCCCCATGGTGATATGATTTACTGGAGACGTGTTTCTTTTCCTGCTGTGATATCAGCTAATGATGCCATAATCCACCTGGTACCCAAAACAAACACCCGGAAGTCAGCCTTCCGTCCTCCAGTTCTTTCAGTTTCTACTTCTGACTGCCCCTTCATCCTATTACTGTTAAAGACTTCTTAAATGTATTCGATCTCATTGTTTTATCCCCAGTGCCATGGTTTTAGTTCAGACCCTTGCTGTTTGTTTCAGGGTATTGCACTGAGCCTCTCATTGTGATGCTGCTTTCAGTCCTGCCTGGCACAAAGCCAGTTTCCACATTGCCGCAGCGCAGACTGAAATGCAGCCTAATCATGTTGTTCTTCGGCTCAAAAAAAAAGAAAAAGAATCCTTGCCCAGCTAACCATCATCGTGAGTGCATTTGAAATTCCTGAGCATGGTGAATGCGTGCTTTGGCGTGCCTTCCTCAGCCTCTCTCTCTCTGCTCCCCCAGCCCACACATTCATTCCAGCCAGTCCCCTCTACTTGCAAGTTCGCAAATGAATTGAGATGTCTTGATTATGATGCTTTGCTGGAAATGTTTTCCTAGGTCTCTCTGCTTGATGCTTTTGTTCTGCATTCAAGAGTCAAGAAGAGGGCAACTCCTCCACGGAAACTTCCCAGATTGCTCAGGCCAGATAACCTCCTCTTGGCTCACATAGCATGCTATCCTGAGCTCTGTTGAGGCAGGGACTATTGCTTTTTTATTCCTAGGGCTTAACAAAGTACTTGGCCCATAGCTTACAAACATTATGAAGTAAATAAATAACATCGAAGTAATTAGATTGTCTCGGTACTGAAAGTACCTGTTTCTCTATCTTCACTTTACTGTAATCTCTCAGGGGCTGGAACTGTTTCTAGTCCTATCTGCAGAATGTCCAGCTCACAGGACATTTTCAACACTCTTTGTTGGATAAAAGAATGAAGCAAAGTGGATATACCTGCTATATGGTAGAATTTAAGTTAATCTTTTTGCATTTGCTTATCCCGAGAAGCAGGCATTGAAACTAACTGTAAAAATGTATGGGAAAGAGGAGGCATTGTTGATGATTGAATACATTATAAGGCTGAGTGTGCACTTCTGGCCTTGGTATGGATGTATCTGCCCTAAGCAGCCACAAGAAGTCAGAAGGCGACTTTCGTTGTTCATAATTTAACAAGAACATGCTGACCTTTCCACTATCGGACAGCTACTGAGTGACGAGAACAATCTTTCCTCATGTAGCTTGAAGTCAGATTCTGTTTTGAGCCACTCTTGGTGCCAGTAGAAATGTTAACCTTTTGGATAATCCTTCTGGAAATAGAGGAGTTTCTTCGTAGTATTAAAATAGCTGTGATGAAATAGAATGTATCTGCCTAATTTAGAGTATAAACTTCTCTAACATGCGCACCAAATTGGATGTGCAGTCTGTAAAATTTGGCCAGGCTGGGCTTAAGACAACATTTATGGAGCAGACCTTAATTCCCTCATTTCTACTTCAAGCTCTCTTGCCCTGCCCTATGTCCCCTCCTGCGCACCAGGCTCCTCCATACTCTACCTAACCTTAGCATCCTGGATGAAATGAGATTCATTAGGCATTCATGTAACCTATGGGGTCATCATATGTCCCCCCTTCCCCCCCCAAAGCAGTCATTAGCTCTTAGCCAAGGGATTGTGGACAATTAAGCAGAAGAGGGAAGGACACACGGTTAGCGCTGATGCTGGGTTATCTTCTGATCACCTGCCTTGATGACTATTAACTTCCTTCCAGTTCAACCATTTAGTCTCGTGGTCACACGTGGGGCCTTGTTACTGCCAGAAACTACTTCATCTGAAGGCTTAATTTCACCTATCCTGTTTTCTGACCGTGACCTCCTGTCCTTTCAGTTGGCTTGCTGGGATCACCCCGACACGATCCTTTGTGGTGATTTAGACGGCCGATCTACTGCTCGCCATCATCTTCTTCTCACTTGATTTCCTTCCTGTCCATGCAGGTTCTGTGGTCCAACACAGTCAGTCCCTTGTAAATACTGTCAACTCTCCTCCCCCTTCTTTGTCCAATGTATTCAACTGGCAAAATCCCAACCTTGGA